GCTTCCTTTCTCTGTCCCCCCCCCCACACACACACCTCAAGCCTACCCAGGGAGGGGAACACTGGCTGGAGAATGGAAGACTGATCAGGGAGGTATGCCTCCCTTTCACTTCCCCAGCCGCCCTGCCAGGAGCCGCACAATACGTGTGAAAGTGCCACATGGAGCTCCCGAGCCACAGTTTGGCCACTCCTGGTCTAAACCCATGGAAATAAATCCTTTGTATAGGATTGAGCTGTGAAGTAACTGAGTGTCTTCCAGCATTATTTCCATCTCACAACATCATCGTGTTTTTTGAATGAGCACACACATGCAAATCTCCAAGTAAGACAGAAGAAGAAAAGACTGGGTTTATACCCTGCCCTTCACACGGAGTCTCAGAGCAACTTACAATCTCCTTTCCTTTCCCCTCCCCACAACAGACACCCTGTGAGGTAGGTGGAGCTGAGAGAGCTCTTTCAAGAACTGCTCTTGAGAGAACAGCTCTGAGACAACCGTGACTGACACCAGCAGCTGCATGCGAAGGAGTGGAGAATCAAACCTGGTTCTCCCAAATTAGAGTCTGCACTCTTAACCACAACACCAAACTGGCTCTAACGCTATGATAGGAAAAAACCACCCAGTATAGTGCCTCTTTTTCTTTTCTTTTCTTTTCTTTAAAAAACCTTTTACTTTACATTTTCCATAACATTCTTCAGTTTAGACTGACAAAAGATGATAACCCTTACAGTGTAATCCTAAACAAAGTTACATCCCTCTAACCCATAGATTTAAATTGATTTAAAAGAGTGTGTAACTATGTTCAGGATTGCACTGTCAGCCATAATGCTAGATGTTATAATGTAGTGTTAAGATTAAGAATTCCAGCAGGCCAGTCAAGCGTAACAATCCTTTGTATATCCAGTTTGGTGTAGTGGTTAAGTGTGCAGACCCTAATCTGGAGAACCGGGTTTGATTCCCCACTCCTCCACTTGCACCTGCTGATGTGACCTTGAGTCAGTCACAAGCTCTGGCACAGCTGTCCTTGAAAAAGAGCAGTTTGTGTCAGAGCTCTCTCAGCCCCACCCAGCTCACAGGGTGTCTGTTGTGGGGAGGGGAAGGGAAAGGAGTTTGTAAGCCGCTCTGAGACTCCAAGTGAAGGGCGGGGTATAAATCTTCTCTCTTCTAACAAAAGGTTTGGCTAATGTTCAGTGTATTATTTATATCATAGAAGCTATATATACCTATGTGTAGATCTCAGGGCATGTGCTAAATCTCTTATTTAAGTCAGCAAATGATTAAAAAGGAGCCACTTTGTATATTAGAGGGATTTTGTATGGTTTTAGTCTGTACAGTTATTTTGTCAAGTATTGAACTTTCCCCATATCTTAGCACACCAAGTATTGATGTCAGGTGTAAATTTACTTTTCCTACATTTCCATCATAAGCAGAGTTACCCCATTGTAAGTTCATTGATTATGAATATATTTGTGTATATTTTGAATGTTCTTTTCCGGGGGGAAATACTGTGCTGAAGGTTTTTGGCACTTGGCATTTTGGCGCTTGGCATTCAGCACATGGATTGGTTGCTTTCTTTCTCTAGGGACAGAGGAAGTACTTCTTCAGGTCACTTTTTGGCCAACCCTGCTTTTTCCCCATTACCACTCAGTATTTGTGTTTTAGTGGTGCCCAGTGGCCTATGGTGAGCTTTTGTGAGCAGATAAAAAGAGAGACAATCAAGCTTCTGTTACAGTCTACAGAGTGCAAGTTCAGGAAGGCAACTCTTTAATATCATTGTTTGTTAAGATGGAATCTATTATGCCAAAATCAGGTTGCAAGGTGTAGTGTCAAATATGTTAACGTATTTGAAAAATTATATGCCTCAATTATTCTTGTATACCTATTGGCATTACGTTACATAAAGTTACTTTTTTTCATTACCTTACATACTGTACTTGCAAGTTGCAGGGCACATGGGCTTAGTGTCCTCTGACAAAGGAGAAGTGTAGAAGCTTAAACAAGGCCCAAAACCACAAAGCCCTTGATTGTGTTTCCTAAAATGTTAGGTAGTTCCTACTGAAGTATGACTACGCTGGAGATAGTAAGAAAATGGCAGTGGCTTGGATCCAGTGGAGGGATTTCTACAAACAGAAGGGGAAGAGATTTTCACCAGTTCCCTCCTCCCCCCCTGCAGAACTGACTCCCCCTCCAGTGCTGGTCATAGGGTCCCCCTTCCCCCCCCCCCCCCAACAGCTTTTCAGGGGGCATTTTGAGCTGCTGCAAGAAGAAGGCGGCAAGGGAGTCTGCAGGTTGAAAGACCTTCTGTCAGTGGAACCTCTGTTGTATCCAAGCCAATATGCAGGAGAGAAAGTAATTTTCTGCTTGGTTTTTGGATGTCTCTCTCTGCAGTGGTACCTTGGAGGCAAAGTGTTAGGAGGAAGGATCCTGACTTCTTAAGCCCCACCCCACCCCCGTGTAAAAGAATTGTTTTGCTGACCAAATCCTCCATAAGCCCTGTGTTCTTATTTGAACAACTTAAATATATTTGCCAGGAGAAGTTCAATTTCCATAATCTTGGATAACTTTTTAATAATCTCTTGACAAGCATTGTAAAGTAGAGATGGCCATGTTACAAAGCTATAATTTAAGATCAGCAAGGTGGGATGGTGAAGGGCTGAATGTTGGGCCCCTCCCCACGCACACTCCCCTAAATTCTTTGAGCTCCATCACGTCTTTTTTCACTACAAGTTTCAGCATGCTTTTATCCCAAGCAGACTTTATGGTTGCTAGCCAGTAAGAGCCACATGTAATTAATGTACAGGCTTTCCGCCTTTTCCCCTCTTCACCTCATCCTGGGGGGAAAACACACCATGTGCAATTCTGGTCACCATATCTTAAAAAGGATATTATAGCTTTGGAAAAAGTGCAGAAAAGGGCAACTCGAATGATAAAAGGGTTGGAACACTTTCCCTATGAGGAAAGGTTAAGGCGCTTAGGGCTCTTTAGCTTGGAGAAACGACGACTGAGGGGTGACATGATTGAGGTTTATAAGATTATGCATGGGAAAGAGCAGGTAGAGAAAGAGGTACTTTTCTCCCTTTCTCACAATACAAGAACTCGTGGGCACTCCATGAAATTGCTGAGTGGTCGGGTTAGAACGGATAAAAGGAAGTACTTCTTCACCCAAAGAGTGATTAACACTTGGAATTCACTGCCACAGGAAGTGGTGGCGGCTACAAGCATGGACGGCTTCAAAAGGGAATTAGATAAGCATATGGAGCAGAGGTCCATCAGTGGCTATTAGCCACAAGGTATAGATAGGGACTCTGGGGCAAGTGATGCTCTGTCATCTTGGTGCTTGGGGGGGGGGGCCAACAGTGGGAGGGCTTCTAATGTCCTGGCCCCACTGGTGGACCTCCTGATGGCACTGGTATTTCTGGCCACTGTGTGATACAGGGTGTTGGGCTGGAGCCGCCTTTGGCCTGATCCAACATTATTGGCGTCTCTTATGTTCTTATGTTCTTATGATCTTGCTCTGCATCCTTCTCCTACATGACAACTACTGATGGTTTTTGAGCCTCAGGATTTTACACTCTGTCAGTTCTGTACATCCAAATGTTGCCCTCTGACCAAAAAAGAAAAGAAAGAGGAACTGGAATAAAGAGGATTTGTCAGTTAAAATGCTCGATCCAATATTTAAAACAATACTTCATTAGAATTGTAATGTACCAAGAAACTTGTGCCAATTATTTAAGGGTGAAAACAAATCAGCTTGTTTTTGAAACTTTAGTGACAGTCCCAATGAGATTTGATGAGAATTCACATTTCACGTGAACAATGACACAAATAAATGCATGGCATTAATGGGGTCACAGGGCAGCAGGGTGACTCAAAGTAGCCTTGGCAGAAGTAGCCCCACACAAGACTATTTAATCCTTCCCTGAACATGAGGAAACGAGATACAAACTTTGTTCTTGGTCACCCTGGTCTTCCTTCCTCTACAGTGATCGGTCCAGTTCTAAGGGTGGGATTGTTAAATATTTGATTATTAGACATCTACTCTGCTCTTAATGAGTTCAGAACGTCTTGCAGGATTCCAGGTTAGTTTCCCACTGAAAGAGACATGATCTTCGTTTCAGTAGTGCCTTCACAACTATTGGTTGGACTTCTTTTATTGCTTTCTTTACCATTCC